CGTTCCAAATAGCCTTTATAGGATTTCAGCAGTCCGCATCAGCCTGGAATTCGTGAGGACGTCTTTATCACCAAACATGAACGGCCAGAATAGAAAGGCATTGCCTGAAAATGATTTAAGTTAATTTATACACTAAGGAAATATCTCACCGAGATATCCACAATAAGGATAAAGTCGTTTAGTGAAATCACTATCGTCGACTTTCCTCTTCGCAGCAACTACCACCAAGGAATGATTATGCCCTTAAATGATGTGATTGGAACTCTGCCTCCCGTCGGCAGACTGTCAGCGTTTTTTCTCTACTCTCGGTTCTCGTTTTCAATCCGTTTTATGTCAGCCAACCGGGTGACCGATGTTCCGCGACACTGGTCTAGGAGGCATGTCTGTTAAGATCTTTTACAGCCGGACCGTCTCGAGTAACCGAGTCCCCACCCCCGCATTGTTTTGACTTCGCGCCGGTCCGTTGCTATTAATTGCACCGCCTTATTAGCGATCGCCTTACCAACCCCCGCCGCCGCCACTGTACTGTCTTGCATTTAGGTCTCTGTCCTTAAGTCGCATAGTATCCTGGTGTGGGGTGGGCTCCGCCCCAGCGCAAAGACCGTCGTGTCCTCGACTTGACCTCAACTGTTCTATCCTCGAACAAGCGTCCTTTTACTCACACCAGGCCAAGAAGCCGCTTAGGGTTACCATGTCAAAAGGCCCTCTATCTGCGCTGATTGAAGGGTGAAATATGGTCTTTGCATTTGTTTTGGAGTTCCGACATGGAGCCCTCTCAGTCGGCCAAATCGCGGGTCTTCCAGAGGATCCAAGGTTGGAATGTGACGACGACAATTTAGTCGAAAACACGCGGTCTGGCCAGCCTTGTCTTTGTCGTGATCTGGACTGTCCCGCCTAGTGACGCATACCAGCAGGTTTGGCTACGCCATGCAGTTCGTAAATTCCAGTCCTGCGTTTCTAGAGTTAGGCGTAAATGTGCAACTGCGTACCTATGAAGTGTGCCTCCAAGTGCGGTCCGAATGCTCTTCGTTGAAATCTGCAGGTAGCAGACGCAGCACTAGTTTCATTTCACCGAAGTCAGGTGCTGGTGAATGTGACGATGGGGGATCGAATGGTGGTGAACAGTCAATACTCGCGAGTCGTTATCGATGAAGACAGGGTATGTGTTTTGATAACTTTTGGATTGTTTGCGTCGTTAAGCAGTGGCAGCCCACCCCCAGCAGCCATAAAATAGAAATTACGGATTTGGCCATTTTTATTGCCTCAATCGCCCTCTCGCTCTCTCCACCGTAACCGATCGGTAAACGCACTTTCGACGTAGTTAATATTCCAGATCACAACCGACAGGGCAACGGGACCGTGGCTCAGTCGGCCGGGCGTCGGACTTAGTAACGTTGAATGGCCAAACAACGCGAGACCGATGCTCGGATGCCGCAAGGGCCGAGGCTGACTGACGACTGCTAATACGCCAGAAATGGCCATCCCAGCTTCCCTCGTGCGTGATCTCGTTCTGCATATATTACTACTCGCTGTGTAGCTACCTTTGGAGCTCTAGATCGAGCTCCAAAGCACAACGGGACGAGTGTATCCCGTAACAGACCAACGGACACACTGTCAGCACATATATATATATATGCTATTTGAAAAATATGACCTGCTGAGCCCTCAGGCAGTCTTGTACATACTTCGAATGAGGTCTTCTTGGCTAAGTAAATTGTCCAGTGGACATTACAGCAGCATATCAACGACTATCGACTGTCGGATAGACGGTCGGCCCATTGCGTTGGCAATCAGACGTCCGTATTGGAGTTAACCCATGAACTATTGTACTGATAGCCTTTCCACTTATTCCGTCATGAGGTTTTTCGCGAGATCCCTGCCCCACTTCCCCTCTGATCAAACTCCTGGGTGTCTTGTAAGCCCTGGTTCCTCCCAAACTATGTGTGCTCGTAGCTTCTAACCCTCGAAAATTGGGATTTTTTTGAAAAATGAAACGTGGCCGTAAAAAGCACGGGACCCCTTACCTTAGCATTAATTTCCTGGCAAAAAAATAAAACTTGAATCGAGTGTCGTGCGTTTTCCGCTCCGATTCGTATAATGAAGGTCAGCCAGTGGGCATGTCAATTGCTGTTGGACATGGAGAATAAAAGTTTAAAACTAGGCAAAGCAGTTTCCCGACGTGAGCAGCTCGGGTGGGCGAAACCTATCCACTCCGTCCCGACTTTTATCCTTGCGAATGGCCTAGTAAGTGGCGAGGATTTCAGTGCATCCGCTGGCCGATAAACGACCGGACTCAAACGCCTCAATTGTATTTTTTGCCATCTTGCTCCCGGCTCGTCGAGATATCATCTCTCGCCTCTCACAAAATTGAAGCCTTCCAGATGTTATGGTCTTCTAAGGCGTAGCCAGATACCCTCTAATATACTGAACTATGCGCACACTAGGTTTTGTGACTCGAAAGTCCACTAATGGTCTGTTTTTTGCAGCACTTGTACTTTAGGACCTGAGGACTTGTGTTGGCAGTTTTATTTGTGACCCTTAGTGAGCTGATTTTTGGTCTTAAAAAGTGATGTGCTAGGAAGGCGTCGTAGTAAATCTGATAAGCCGTGACCGCGTCTGCTTTGTTTCTCTGCCTGACCCCACGACCTTTGCGTCTTGATTCCGCTCGTACGCATTCTTGATAAACTGCCTTGGATCAGATTTTTCTATCTCAGCACCCTACCCTCGATTCTAACGTTACCTTTTAACGATGTTATTTGTGCGTAGTATTGAAATTTTCCTTTTAGGAATCTACCCTCTTTCCGACATAAAATCACTGATCAGGCCACTTATTTTGGGACAGGAGAAATGATAAATTATTCCTTGTTGGTTTTATCAAAGTGTTAGATTTATAGTAACAACATTTCCGCCAAAATTCTGCTCCATTCTACGTTCCGTCTACGTTGACCACCCACATCTAACCCCTTTATTGTAGGTATTAGGCGAACCCTGGCGGCTCTCAACCAGTCAGACCCCCATCCATCAGTGTCAGCATTTAAATTATCCCGCAAATCACCCGGCACTCACAGCCACACCTGGGGGCGGTTTTGGACCCGTTACTGCCGACGGATATGGTGTGTCCTACATCTTCGCTGGAGAAGATCACATTTTCTTCCATGTATCCTCCTACAGAACCTCAGAGGAGACGGTAGGCTCCGATTTATAACAAATTGTTGCGTGCCCATTCCCACGGCCCGCCTTTTTGAACTTTAAAAACGAAAGAACTTGCCACAGAAACAGGGAGATTAGGATGCTTTGGGCCTTGGAGTAGAAAAATGCAGTACGAAAATGGTGACTAATAGTCGTACTGTTTAGATACTAAAACGTTACTACTGCCTTCACATCAGTAACCATTATATCAAGCAAGAATCCGACTATGAGCAAGATTGTATTCCGCTGCCTCTTGCAAACAATAGACTTGTGAATAGGGGTAAACTAGTGTGGCATTTCAAGGGGCTGCCACTCTTTTATTTTTACGTTGTTTGCAGTTAATGAGTGTCAGGTTTTCACTGCAGCAGTAATCTGTTTACCATACCACAACCAGTGCTGCCTCGTATAACTGCCCAGCCTAGAGCGGCGTTTTTCTGGCCGTTCTCATTTCATGCCCTCGATGGCGATCGACATGCCCCATGCCGAACTGCTAGGTCTATCCGATGGCCTCTCGTTCGTTGAATTCTACCCAGATTAGTTGTAAGGAAAACCCTACGCGGACTATTCGCAAGCTTTTAAGAGCTGAATTTGCGAATAGCAGTCTTTAGCACTTTTCAAAGATCTACGTCTGCAAAAGACCTTAGAAACCTTTATGTGGTAAATTACCACTGTTCTAACCTACCCCTTGGTTGATGTCGAACTCCCTTCGCCTCCACTAGGACTCGGAAGCATTCGTGAACCGCCTCTTCAGCGTTCTTCGCTCGCTGCGTCTTCTGCATGAACCGGAATCAAATACCCAAGTCGTAACGGAGAAGGCGTCCTAATAAATCCCACCGGGCCATCTGTTTGGTCATCAGAGTTTAATCCTCCGACTAGTGCAGGACTGCGTAACTACACTCAGGGACTCAACTCGGAAATTTTTTACATATTTATCGGTACTCCCGTTTGTCTAAGCTTCCCCCCTTTTCAATCAGAATTCCACCCAATTTTTAAGCTAAATGCTGCTATGACACAGAGCTGCTTGAATGTACATTTGCCAGTGTTGTTTCCCTAAAATGGATAACGACTTACCATTAGCGTTTTATCATCCGTGTGGCACTTGTTTTTGCTCTAGCAACCTGTCTGTGTTCATGTGTCTATGTGTTTTGTAGAATGTTACTGTTAGAGTTTGTTTTATCCAACTCCAGCTATTCCGCACAACCATTAGTAAAGTCTCTGCTCAGTCTCTCGTTTTGAATTTCTTGTCACTTCATCTGAGGGGAGATTATCGTGCCGTTCCATCTCAGAGCGCCTGTATGGACGACGTCTTTGCAAACAGTCTCATGACAACCGCCAATGGACAGTTCGACCGCCGATTTCGAATATTCCCATCGTGTGCTTAACAGTAGAGTGAGGGCAGGGGCGGTAACTTGCGAACGAATTAGTTTGTACTTACGGTGGACTTGCGAAGCATCCACCTCACTCCCTCCTCCCCTACCTGGGCCCGATGTCATGACCAGGCCAAGAAGACCGGCGGTTGGAGAGGCCGCAGGTGGACGGTAAGGAGTAAACTCGCACCTAGGCGCACAACCACACCCCCTGGTCCACAACAAAGGCTTGGCAAAGATTTCAAACAACATCAAGAATGCGGAGCGGCAGGGATCTCAGTGAGTGTGACGTGAGCCCGCAACTGGGCCTGCCACTGCATCCTGAATGTTGGCATTGGTTGTGGATGGGTATTCCAGATAACGCCTACCGGAATCCGATGTAATCCCCGTGTTGGTCCAGCGCATCTACCGCGTGGGCCGTTTCAGGGACAACAAATTCTTATCACGACTTATGTAAATGCCTGAGAGAATGTACCCACTGCGTCCTGTCTCGGAGCTCCAGTCTGAATGGCGTCTTTGCAAACAGCCGCACGACAGCCGGCAATCGATAGCACGGAAGAACACGATGTTGCCCGAAATAACGCTAAACAACCCACCAATGGCCATTCCAGTTTCCCTCATCTCTGCTACTGGTTCTTCTGGAAATCGTCTTATGCTCTGCAGGATAACGGAAAGTTGAGCAGGCTCGCATTTGTCACATGTCTTTAATCTCTCAAGGCTGTTAGATGCGGGAGAAAGTCTTGGTATAAATGGAAATAACAAGGAAGCAGACTTTGGCTTGTTTACTACGAAGCATTATTATGCAGCGATGGAGTGGAACTTGTACAGTGTACCAAAGCCTAACAAGAAAAGCACTCTGATCTTTGCTAGCCTCTGAGGGATGACAGAAAAAGGTACGAGAAGCTGAGTTGCCGGGTGGGGCTTGCATGCTGAACTCCCATGCAATGTTGACGCAAGTAAGTTCTCCGATTGTTTAGGACGGTTGACTACCGCCCCCGCCCCACATCTAATATCCTTAAATGACGCCACTACGGGTGCTCTTATACTGTGCAAACAGAAGCGATGATACATCAATGCTCTAGAGGCTCTTTCGGTGCAATTGCACACAAATTGGGAGACTTAAGGAGCCTTGTACAAGACTGACAGCTCTGACGCACTGCTCCAAAAGGTGGAATGAACATCTTCTAAGCCAGATGAATGGCGGAATGCAAGTGGAAGTGGGAGGTACACCAGACTGAGATGTCGCCGATGCCCGACTTTTTCAAGGTAGTCAGCTGCTATTCAGGACAGGAACTGCCCTTGGCGTACAACTTTGGAGCGAATGCGCTGTGAAGACGTCCCCACGGTGAACGCACATTCCGATCGCGCACCAACCTGACCGGTCTTCCACTGGTCCGTCCGAAACCCCGATCAACGCACGCCGTTTGTGCCAGAGCATCTGACATGACACTGACCTGTTCTGTCACCAGCAAAGCAACGCCCACTGCCTAAGCATCAGTTATGCGATCCAACTGTCCAGAGTCATCGTAACAGTCAGTGTGATCCGTCTGCGGATGTCTGCATCTCGCTTGTGTGAAGATGATGTCTTGGTGGAGTTTGGTTATGCGGGGGAGAGAAACCAGCGCCTACGTGACGCGTGTGGCCGGAGGCTCTTGTCCCTTGTCAGGCACTGAGCCCCATCTCATCGCCAGTCCACTGACGGGCTATGACATCTCATTGGCACAACGTAGAGTGAAGAATGAGTGAGGCCGATACCGAGGGATCCATACCCAGAGGAAATCATTGTATTCCTCACAGCAATTTTTACTCGCTCGATCTTGCCGTGGCGTACAGAAAGTAACAGCTTGAAACGTCGCTAATTGGCGGGAAAAATTCATCTCCCCTTGGAAAAAGAGTCAGACTGCAATGGATCCCCTGGTGTCTTGCTTCCTTTAGGTCCGATTTAGATTGAGATTTTCTGTCTCATCGGCCATTGTGCCCAGCCTCGCCTTCAGTCGGTTTGACTCGGACGAACAACTGATCGATGCTGGTGGGAGGGGCAATGACATCGGTCCAGCCCAGATCTAGCACTGCGATTCCCCACTATACACCAGCTAATGGAAAGGGTGATGACATCGATCCAGCCCAAACCCACTTTGAACCTAGCACAAGGCATTAGGAGTGTTGGCCTGGAAGGCGGTCGAGACAGCTCTGTCCTCCTGAAAAGTAAAGGTTAATTTAGACTGGCTCCTCCCTAATACGGCCACCGGGGAATCCTCACTTGGGTGGGGTTCCAGACCCCTGGTTGAAGAACCGGTATGTGTCGAGTTAGAAACGAAATCGTGTATGGCACGTATAAGACGACTACTATTTGTGTCATCCACTGCTCGCGCACTCATTGCAGACGTTGATCTTGCCTTTAACCAGAGCTAGATGGACCTGACGACATCCTCCGCAGGTCTCCTTCGTGAAAGATCTCACGCAAGCCGACAACTGTGCCCACTCCTACTTGGCACTCAAACTGTCATATGCCAGTTGATCTTGGAAAGTTGTTTTGCACGTCCAACTGCTTTTTCCCAGACACTACCATGGTCTCATAATTATCCTAATAACTCCCCTCGCGGAGACTGTCCTTTTGATCTCGAGGGAAGGCTATCTTCGCACGGCCGCCTCCGTGATCAGGACATGTGAGCGGTAGCCTTATTTCGACGCTCCAGAAGGCGCTGCGGACAGATCGTCCGCTGTCAATAATTTACTCGCTCTAATCTCGAAACAAGTGAAAATGGCACCTACTCATGCATGAAGGTACATGACCTGGGAAGTATTCCCTTATTGTCATAGAAAATGATGTGCGTGAACCATGTCGGGATCAGGACTAGGCCTCAGTGGCGCTGGTATCGGCGCATCCTCGTCTTTTTTGTTATTCCGACGGTAACGGTAGGTTGTGGAGCCCCACATAAACTATCCTACGCAGATCCTTCTACTGCGATTTTTCAGTAGGTATTTCTATCTGCCTATTGGACGCTCCATGTAACCTACCATTGCCATTCAGACTGTAACCTAGGTAGGCGTCCTGCAATGTGCCACGTGGTCGTTGTTCTGGAAGAGCGGGGGGTATCATATCGGCGCTCAGCACGCGTTATCGGGCTTCGAACCCACAACAAATGTTACACACGGGGGAAGCCTTGGTGGTTCACCCGGCTGCAGACCCAGGCCACGCCAGCCACTGACCTCGCCCCCGGGATTGTGAATTTGTCTTGACACCGGGTCGGAGAGTGTGGGCGGTAGTGCAGTGGATCCAGCGTAAGCCCACCGTCACCACAAGCCAGGTCACTGTCCCCGTCACCATCCTGCTGTGGGACACACGGTAGCCATCGTCGGCAACTACGGTCCAACTGCCGTAGCCTATGTATGGAATGACCGTGATGCGCCCGTGTTCACTTCAGCTTAAAGTGACAATTTGTTGACCGCCTACTGAAATCGACAATAGTACGAAAGCGATAGTTTGCTGACCAAGCAGCATCGCGTATCCCAGCCCTACTCCTCATTATTTTCCACTAGAGATTTGTCAGCCACAACCACACAGGCCTTCAGATCGGCTAGCGGATTATGCAGTTTCCAGAGGCAACAGTTCGACCGTCGATTCCGATGACCACCGTGTGCCAAGCACTTCACTGCCTTGTCGTCACTATACTTTAAGTCGACGTCTAACAGCCATGAGGACACGTACTTTTCGTTGGCGCCAAAACGCGTGCAACTAATGGAACTAACTGCGCCTCTTGCCTTTCCCCTCTGCGGATATTGGTGAAATCTAGGGGCCTTCCGGCGCGACAACTGGCAAATCTTAGCGTGAAATAGAGCTATGAATCCCTCCTCTCACCCACTAAAATGAAGACTCATATTTACCCAACTGTGAAAAACTCGGCGCCTCCGGGGGATTCGAACCCACACAGTAAGGCGAGGGCGTTAGTACAGCCAACGCTCTAACCACTTGCGCCACGAGACCCCGCCGGACGACGCGAGTTTAATCACATTTGGGTCAAGTTACCCGCCCAACCTTCTGTAACGTCTGGAATCCACCAAATAATCTGGTGGATTCTGGGTGAATTACTTAGGAAATCCTGTTTGGGCAGTCAACTTACTATATCATATTTGGTGTATTCCAGACGTTACAGAAGGTTGGGCGGGTAGCTTGACCCAAATGTGATTAAACTCGCGTCGTCCGGCGGGGCCTCGTAGCTCAAGTGGTTAGAGCGTTGGCTGTACTAAAGCCCTCGCCTTACTGCGTGGGTTCGAATCCCACCGAGGCGCCGATTTCTTTCACAGTTGGGTAAATATTAATTTTTCAAAAATCTGCCAAAACATCCATAAAGTGAAGACCTCGCGCGTTGACGTGCGCTCGCACCCCGCTATGAACTGGTTCCTGATCTACACTTTCGCCCCATTTTCCCACTACTGCGAAGATAATGACGGAGGAC